AGAATTCATTGTAGGGTATTATTTAATCAAACTTTATAACAAGAGTCTTTTGGTATTTTAATAGTTAAACTTTCCTACATTGGTGTGATGAGTAACATAAATTTCCATTGCACAGTGAAATTTCTAGTTGTATTTTGATATCTAAACTTTCCTACATTGGTATGAAGAGTAACTTTATTTTGTAAATTTTCATTGCACAGTCAGATTTCCAGTTTCTTCAGAAACTTTAAAGAGACACTGAAGTGTAAATCATGTAAGTCCAGATGCAGTGTTTTTATAGGTTGAATTAACAGCTCAATGAAACGTTGGATTTTTTCATTATAGCTATTACACTCCTACTGCTCTGGTTTGCTCAGCATTCACTTGGATGGTATGTGTTTATAACTTTTCCCTTTGATCTCAAAATGACTCTAGAAGAGGATAAAAGAAGGTATTAAGTCTATAGAATGACAACTTTTCATCAAGCTCTAAAGATACTCTTGTGCAGTAGTTAAAGTTTTGAAAGAGTTTCATTAAATTGTGCCCATTAACCAAATACTAACATTAGATTGTTAACTATTAGGCCAGTCATCAGTTTTCTGTCTGAAACTGTAATATTATTTTGCTCTAATCAATATAGAAATGATTCTTGAAATTGTGGTCTGGAAAATTAGAGTGACTTTTAGAAATTTTGAAGTGCCTCCAACAGTCTCATTATTGAATTATTTTGCTCTAAGATTTTAATAGTATAGGAGACTATAAGGATATATTTGTTTATTATAATACATAATATATTTCAGCTATGTATTATTTATATTGTCAGATTTTAGTGAAAATTTCTTCAGGAAAGTTTGTCATGACCCTTTATTACTCATTTGATCTGAGCAATCTTCATTAAATACAGAGGGTGCCAAAAAATATATACACATTTTAAGAAAGGAAAAAACTGTATGAAAACTGTAATACTCAATATATACTGATAATAAAAGAATACAAGTCATGTGCATTTTTTTGGCACCCCTTGTAGTTTCAGGAATCCTTGTACACTATTTTATGGAGATTAATGGATTTGGAAAACTTCTGGAGTCCACTAACAATCATAATTTTAATTCAATATCTTTTTCAGGAGGAAGATATTTTAGATCTCCTGGAGCAATGTGAAATTGATGATGAAAAGTTGATGGGCAAAACTGCCAAGCCTCGAGGACCAAAGGTGCAGTACCTCTACCGTTCTTAGTATCAAAGTTGATGCTGCTGAGTACCATTGTTTTTCCCTTTATATTTCTTTTTTTTTAATTTATTGGAGAGCAATGTGTTTTTCTAGAACCCATCAGCTCATAGTAGTTGTTTCAATCTAGTTGTGGAGGGCACAGCTCCGTGGCCCATGCGGGGATCAAATTGGCAACCTTAGAGTCATGAGCACTGCATTCTAACCACCTGAGCTAACCCACCGCCCCTTCCCTTTGTATTTCTAACTACAGGAATGACTGATGCCACTTTCATGGAACTCTATGGAGTTCGTGCCCAGTACAAATAAAGTTGGGAAGATGATCTCCTCTCACACACTTATAAGTTTTTCTTTGTTCGCTTCCTTTATTTATTGGATTCTTTTTCTAAAGCTAGTGATATCCCAATGAGTCAGGGCCAAGAGGGAGCTAGAACTAATACCCTTATTAATTATTAATTATGTGGAGAGATATGAAAAAACAATACTGAGTATTGTTTTTTCATATCTCTCCACATAATTATCAGAGAAGTGTAGCATTATAGATAAGGCAAATCGTGACTCTAGAGATCCTTATCAGGAGTCCCATCTTTTGCTGACCCAGCAACACTGAAATTGTGTTAGATAAAGTCGGTAGAATTTCTAGGATATATAGAAAGCTGTTATACAGGCAAAAATGGCACGTGTTTGCTTTACCTTCATCTGCTCTGTGATGATGACATCCATGTGTTTTTTTGTTATATGTCAGAGTCTTTGCTGGTAGAGTAGGGAAGAGTTGAATTTGTAAAATCTGGGAAACTTTTTTCATTCTGGTCTTTTGTCCTTTGTTTCAGCAACACTAACTAACTCTATATTCTTACACACATCATACTCTGTTGTCCTGTCATGCTTTTGCCATGCCTCTGGAATGCCTGCTTATTTTTAAAAAAGTGATATTTGTTGCTTGATCAATTAGCGACCTCCTCCTAATCCAGCTG